TCGCGGCACCGAGGCGGCCCGAGGCGATCAGGCACCGAGGGGCCCCGAGGCGGTCGTGCACCGAGGGCTATTTCGAGGCGTCCCCACGTCGTCGAGATGCGGAACTTTTGGCCTGCTGCACCGCGGTAGTCTCGAGAAGGCCCCGGAGTTCGTCGTGGACTCGTCGCCCCTCTGTGGTAGAGGGCTCGGGCATCGCCGACCAAAGATTGCCGCCCGCAGCGACATTCTGGCTAGCGCGATTGAAGACAGGGGGTTGCTCGCCCCCTTCATCATCGTTAATGCGGCGGTTGACGTCGTGAGCCCCCAGCCGGGCCGTTCCGCCATTGCCACGCCCCCCGCTGCTCTTGCTCGAGGGTGGCTCGGAGTTGCTACAGGAGGAGTCGATCTTGCTCGACCTTGGCTTGAAGCTCACGGAGCTGCTCTAGGTCTACGCGTCGAAGTTGCTCGGGGGTGGGGATACCTGCCGCCGCTGGCGGGGACCCCGTGCGTGGTGGTGTGGCGTTGGCTGCCCTTCCTCCATCGTTGCCCATGCTTGGTATTCCGAGTCCGACGTGGAAACACTCACGAGTCGGGTCGTAAGCATCCTCGTCGTCGGAATCAGAATGGCCGAAGCAGTAGTCGCTCACGATCATAAAGCGGCGCATCGCCTCAGGGTCGTGAATCCCAGAGAAGTCTGCTCCAACCCACGCCTCGTCCTCCTCCGAGGAGTCAGAGTGGGGGTGGATTGGAGTTGTGACTATGGGGTTATGGGCATGACGTTGATGAATGAAGACGAGGGTGGTGGCGTAGGAGGCGGCGGCATTGGTCAGCCCGAAAGGGTACGGGGATGGCGCCGTCGCCATGCTCTGCTCCATCAGAGCTGGCTTCTCGGGAGGAGGCGGGACAGCGCTTGATGATGGGGTGTCGCTGTGCGCCACCGGCCCTTTTCCCCTGTCGAGGCTTAAGCCGGACAGGTCTCCGTGTAGGGACTCTGTGCCAGCAGCGGGGTATGGGATTCTGGTGGAGCACAGATCAGCGTTCCGTACTTGCGTGGTGTTAGGGTGGACTCACCCGCGCGGCGCTCGGTGAGCTTGACGGGAGCGGCGGCCCGGGCGCCGTCCGCGCGTGGCCTGCCGGTGCAAGACGTCATCGTCGGTCGATGGCGCTCTGGGTGAGAGGAGTACCATGTCGTACTCATGCCCTAGAGACATGAATTCTAGGCTTCCGAACTAGACGATCATCCCGAGACGCAACGATCGCACGGGATCTACCATCTGGAATCTGGTGGGATGACTAAGCTGACACACAGAGGCCCCTATCTGGCGCGCCAACTATCGGTGTTTCGGAACCGGGGGTCCTTAACCGACTAGTGAATTTGTGCTACGTGCTCCCAATTCTGGATGGAGATGCAAAGAGACACAAGGTTTATACTGGTTCGGGCAATGGATGCCCTACGTCCAGTCTGAGAAGGTGTTCTTGTATTCCTTGCACCGGGGTGCTCGTAGTAGGGGGTTACAAGCTAGGCGAGAGAGGGAGTTCGTCCCAGGTCTCTGTGAGGGGAGGTGATATCAAATTACAGAACGAGGCGTGTTGTTCGTGCGAGTATCTGTGATTCTCTCCATCGTCCTAGAAACGGTCATGGCTGCCTCCTTTTATAGCCGCAGGGAGGAAACCAGGAGTACATAAGAGAGCTACACGCGGAGCAAGGACTATTCGATGACGTATTTATTCCTGGAGCAGCATGGCGTTGTCGTGGGAGTTCCCGTAGATGTCCAATCGGTATGGTCTTCACTGCAAGTAACATGCTGCGCATTTATTTATTGACTTTGGTGGATTGCAGAGGCTCGGCGGCCTTCGTAGCCGGTCGTGCCGAGGCCTATCGTGCCGAGGCCTGCCGTGCCGAGGCCTGAGAAGTGACCCAGGTGCAGATGCGGGTCTCAGCAGCCATCAGGCGAAATAGTGCGAGACGTGCGCCTATAGGATACGGTACCTGTGTTGTCAGTAGGGATGGTAAAAAAGGTGATTCGACCGTTGTCCCGTCGCTCCTGTTGCAGCGCACTGCCGATCGTGGCTTACGTAGTGGGTGCGGCCGAGCGCATTAATCGGATGTGATAGCCTGCCAGAGAGACTTTTGAGGCGGAGACGATGAGGTTGTGGAACGAGCCCGGCCTCGGGCGAGGCGGAGCGCGGCCGATTCATCCGAGGCCCTTCCGAGGGGGTCTCGGGCGAGGCGGACGGGCGAGGTGTAGTAAGATCAGTGAATCCGAGGCCCTGTCGGGGGGGCTCAGGCTAGACGGGGTGGTCGGTCCGCTGATTCCGAGGCTACAGGAACCCGTTCTGACTCCCCACGTTGCGATGTCCTTGGTGCAGGAGTCAGGCAGCACAGTGGTCGGTAACCCCTTCTCTGTGCCGTCTCAGATGGCAGGGGGTTGACACGACCGGTGTGTAGTCGGTCACTTCGCCGTACTGTGCCATCGTGTGTCTGTCGGAGTGGTTGGGTGCTTGGATGCGACGTTTGGTCAGAGCAGTTTGGTTGAAGAGGCGGCCACGGGGCTGGTGCCGAGCCGGCCTCGCGCGAATCGGAGAATCGGCACTTCTTCCGAGGCCCCGGGCGAGGGGGTCTCGGCGAGGCGGTCTTGGGCGAGTCGGAGAATCATTTGCTTCTGCTGGGGCTCGGCGACGGGGTCTCGGGTGAATCGATGATTTCGGTCGAGACCTCGTTTGTTCATTCCGTTGGTTCTGTTTTTAGGGTCTAAGCAGTTCTTCGATCTTTGCTTGGGGTACCCCATTTTCTGGTATCCGACAAGTTGCATCTCATAAAAAAAGCCATTTGGGACTCCTGTTAAACACTGTATTATGGAACCATTTGGGACAAGTATGATTACACATTAAACCATGGCAATTCTAGGTTAAAAACCTTGGTGCCGAGCTACCGTCAAGCTAAGAAATCGCAGCTTAGTTTTGATAAAGGACTTTGTCCGCCCAAACATCACAACAATCTTCTTCCCAGCATGACACTCTTCTTCTCCCCATTCCTATACCCCAAAGTCATGTTAGGCCTTAGGCACTCAACAACCAGGGCTAGATCTTGGGCACTTTTGCCTGATGCGCACCCTCAGACACGAATCCTTCACGGCTTCACACAACTTAGGTTGAGGCAAACAAGACTACAAGAGTGCTTTGGGAAGAGGAGGTAGGAGGGAGGGGAAATGGAACTGCGCAGAGGTACGATGGAGAGGGCGAGTAATTAGCAAGCCGAAGGGTGGTAGGCGTGCGAGGCAGGGTTCGCCGCCATCGGGCATCGGCGGTCCTCTTCGGTGGGTGGCGGCGCACGTGACGTGGAGGCGCGGAAGCCGCGAGGCTGGCAGGGGTCTGCGTGTGCCCCGCCGACCGTCCGCGCTCAGGGCCTGCCGCTAACCGCCCGTGCGTCGCACTCCGCAACTGCTGCCGGACGTCCACTTGGCGTGCTGCCGTCGTGGCCGGGAAGATGGGCCGAAGGTGGTCGAGTGAGTTTTTTCTGGAGAAACCTGCGTGCCTGCCTACATCCTGTGCGCAGCGGCCTCAAAGTCATCGCCGTTGATGCTGGCCTTGTAGCCGGCGGCGGCGGCGGCGCCGCAGCTAGGGCTCGGGAGGAGTCCAGTGCCAGAGTCGGCGCGCACGGAGATCCTAATCTTGTTGTTTTTAATCCCATGCATGCTTAATTCATATTGTAAATAGGCATAGCTGCATTTCCATGTTTATCTTCCCAAGTTTAGCTAGTTAGTTGCTGCATGAATCAAACGGATGTAAGGCCAGAATCGTGCTGCGTTCACGGTGCGGCCCAACGGCATTCTCACCACGCACGTATGGAAAACGTCTCCACGCTCCAGGCGGACACGGCGCAGCGTGCGCGCTCGTGGTGGGGAAATAGGATCGAAGACCGTGTACTCTGAATGAATAAAGAGAAGAAAGCAAGCCTGAAAAGGCCGCGACAGTGTGCGGCACATATTCGGTCTCTGGTGTGTGCGTGAGTTCTCTGAGTTCGTGAGCGACATCGAGAGCACCGAGAGAACTCACCGGCCATTGTCGATCACCGTCGAGGCAGCCATTCAGACACTCGGCGCCATCAAGTGGTATCGGAGCCGTGGTGTATGTTCTACGGTGGTTCGGTAAGCCCGCCGCGTGAACCACCTCGAAAGAAGTTCGCCGTCCCGCCGAGATCGCCGCCGCCGCCGCCAGACATGACTGGCTCAGGCGTGGGGTCAAGTGGATCCGGGCATGGAGTTCGGGAGAGCTCCTTGATGTGGTCCATGCTGACCCGCTCCAATTATGCAGAGTGGGAGATCCTCATGAAGTGCAACTTCGAGATCTTGGAGGTATGGGAGGCGATTGAACCGGGAGGCGAAGGAGTGAAGAGAACCCAAGATCGTCAGGCCATGGGCGGACTTCTCCGATCTGTCCCTCAGGAGATATGGCAGATGTTGGGGGCGAAGAAGACTATCAAGGAGGCATGGGAGGCGGTGAAGAGCATGCGCGTTGGAGCTAAACGCGTGAAGGAAGCCAACGCTCAGCGCCTGCTCCAAGAGTTCGAGAACATCATGTTCAAGGACGGAGAGACGGTGGACGATTTCGCCCTGCGCATCAACGCCCTTGCAGCGGATCTGCGTACATCTGGTGAGGCGATCGAAGATACACGGGTGGTGAAGAAGATGCTTCGAGTCCTCCCCAAGCGCTACCAGCCGATCGCGATCTCGATTGAAACCTTACTCGATCTGAAGACGCTCACCATTGAAGAACTCGTCGGCAAACTCAAGATGGCCGAGGATCGCCTCGGACTCGAGGCCGTCACCGACAAAGCCAGAAAACTCCTATTGACGAAGGAGGACTGGGCGGCGAGGAACCGCCATCGACTCGTGCCTGAGTCCTCATCGTCGTATGGAGGGGAGAAGAAGACCGGGAAGACAAAGAGTGGTGGCGGCGGAGGGCGTGGCGAACGTGGTGATCGCGGCGAGAAGAAGGAGCCCGTTGTCAAGCTGACATCCATGGGCACACCTAGGCGGAAGGGGCACTGCAGGAATTGTGGCATTTATGGCCACTGGGCTGAGGATTGCAAGAAGCCCAAGAAGGAGCGCAGAGAGGAAGCACATCATGCGCAGGCGGACGCCGATCAGCCGGCGATCCTCCTGGCCACGGTGAATGTCGTGCACGTGCATCCGCGTGATGTTGAGCCCTGTGGAGGTCGTTCGACATGCCATGTCGTGCACCTCGACGAGAAGAAGGTGTTCCTTGCTGACCGCGATGAAGAGAAGGACGCGTGGGTCCTCGACACCGGCGCTAGCAACCATATGACCAGGAGTCGCGAGGTGCTCACGTCGCTGGACACGTCGGTGGGAGGAACGGTGCGGTTCGGCGATGGCTCACTCGTCGACATCGAGGGCATCGGCTCAGTGCTGCTGCAGACAAAGAAAAATGGGCACAAGGTACTTTCTGAAGTATACTATATCCCAAAATTAAAGAGCAGCATTGTTAGCTTAGGCCAATTAGAAGAGGGGGGTTGCAAAATTGTGATCGAGGAGGGTTTTTGCAATGTGTTTGATGTCGAGCGGTCACTGCTGGCTCGAGCACCACGAGTCAAAAATCGTCTATATTTGTTAAAGATGCAGCTTGCAGCTCCAATCGTTTAGTGGCAAAAAGCAGGATGATCCGCCTGCTGGCATGGTCGATATGGACATCTAAACTTCCGGGCACTCCGAGAGCTTGGATCAAAAGGCATGGTAGAAGGGATACCCCACTAGATCGTCTTTGAAGAGTTTTGTGATGGCTGTGCCTTTGGGAAGCGAAGATCGTTTCCCATTTCCACAAGTTGCAAACTACCGGGCAGAGAAGCCGTTGCACCGGTACATGTAGACTTATGTGGCAAGATCAAGCCTAGTACACCTGGTGGCAAGAACTACTTTCGCTCATAGTTGATGATCACTCTCGTTACATGTGGATTGAGCTTCGACAACGAAAGATGAGGCATTTAGATGTTTCAAGAAGATTGAGCCTTTGGTGAAATCGAAAGAGAATGCAAACTCGAGCATTGAAGGAGCGGGGGAGGAGAGTTTAACTCCATAGAATTCAAGCAATACTATGATGAGCGTGGAGTGAAGCACTTCACAACAACTCCCTATACACCACAACAAAATGGTGTCGTTGAGCGATGAAACCGAACCGTGGTGGAGATGGCAGATGCTTGTTGAAAAGCAATGGGTGTCCTGTGAGTTTTGGGGAGAGGCAAAGTGACAAGCTGCAGTTTACTGTTGAATCGGGCTCCAACCAAGAGTTTGCAGGAAGAACTCCATTTGAAGCATGGCACAATCGCAAGCCCAAAGTACATCATCTTCGCACATTTGGCTGCATTGCTTATGTGAAGAATGTCGGGCGGGTGTCTCCAAGTTGTCGACAGATCAACTAAAATGGTGTTTGTCGGATATGAAACAGAACAAAAGGTTACTGAGTTATTTGATCTGTGACAAGGAAGTTACACATCTCGCGTGATGTCATATTTGAGGAGAGCAAGGCTTGGAAGTGGACTCAAGAAGGCCGAGCTGATCCAAAGTGACTTGATGCTTGATGTGGAATTTTATCTTTATTCTGCGGACAAGGAACAACAATCTGAAATCAAGATGCGAGTATCACCTCGCCAGATCCAGTGTTCCTAGATCATGGGTCACCTTCCCAAGATCAATGGACTCCCACCCAAGTTCTGGTGTTGGTTCAAATCAATCCACACCTCCAGGAGCCCTCCTGCACAAGCAATCGAGTTTGCAACACCACCCTCTGGAAATCGGTGGATTCGGAAGGAGTGCCAATGAGGTTCGAGAAAAATTCAAAACATTAATGACACATCATCGATGAAGTCCATGACTTTGAGTATAGTGGTGTATGCTTCTTTCTTTGCAGAAGAGCCTAGGAGTGTGGATGAGGCACTTCTTGAACAATGTTGGAGAGATGCCATGTCACCGAGATGAATTCAATTGAGGCAAACAAGACTTGGGAGCTGGCTATGGGTCTTACTGCAGGACACCAAGCAATTGGACTTAAGTGGATTTTCAAAGCAAAGAAAGATCCAAATGGCAACATCATTAAGCACAAGGCTCGGTTAGTTGCAAAAGGGTATGCTCAGCGTGAGGGGGTGGACTTTGATGAGGTTTTTGCCCCTGTGGCAAGGATTGAAACAGTGAGACTATTGATTGCATTAGCTGCACAAAAGGGATGGCAGATACATCACATGGATGTAAAATCTGCATTCCTCAATGGTGACTTGGTGAGGAGGTGTATGTGCAACAACCTCCTGGATTTGTTGTAGAGGGAGGAAAAGGAAAAGTACTCAAGCTGAAGAAAGCTCTTTATGGGCTGCGTCAGGCTCCAAGAGCTTGGAATTCAAAGTTGGACAGTGAACTAATGAAGCTTGGTTTTGAAAGGAATCCACTAGAGCCTGTAGCCATCAAGATCACACAGTGATGGCTATCTCCTAGTAGGAGTCTATGTAGATGACCTAATAATCACTGGTCCATACCAAGCAAATATTGATGCTTTTAAGAAGGAGATGATGAAGAGTTTCAGCATGAGTGACTTGGGGTTGCTTAGCTATTATCTAGGCATTCAGGTGACACAAGAAAAGGGGGTGATCACATTATGTCAGAGCTCATACACTCTGAAGATCCTAGAAAAGACAGGTATGAAAGGTTGTAATCCCTGTCATGTGCCTATGGAGAACAGATTGAGGCTGAGTAAGAATGACAAATCACCATCAGTTGATAAAACAAAATATAGAAGTGTCATTGGCAGTCTAAGATACTTAGTTAATACTAGACTGATATAGCCTATCTTTGTGGGGATAGTCGGCAGATACATGGAGGATCCAAAAGGAAGTCATTGGGCGTTGATCAAGCAGATTCTCGAGATACCTTTCAGGGACTGTGAACTATGGCTGCATATACAAGAAAACTGAATGCATCTGAAACAAAGCTTATGGCTACTGATGATGAGTGATCTGGCTGGTGATGTTGATGATGATGAAAAAGCACAAGTGGTTCAGTATTCTTGTTGGGATCATGCCTAGTGACTTGGGTGTCTGAAGCAGAAAGTGGTAGCATTATCATCATGTGAAGCTGAGTACATTGCAAGTGTCAATGCAGCCTGCCAAGGTATATGGCTCAGCCGGCTTCTGGGAGAACTGCTGGGTATTCAGACACCAAAGGTGAGACTCCTGGTGGACAACAAATCAGCAATTGCCTTGAGCAAAAATCCAGTACACCATGATCGAAGTAAGCACATTGATACACGGTTTCATTTCATTCGAGACTGTGTGGAACGAGGAGATGTGGACATTGATCATGTGAGCACAACAGAGCAGTTAGTAGACATTCTAACAAAGGCCCTTGGGCGTGTCAGGTTTACTGAACTTCGACAGCAGCTGGGAGTGATCAAAGTGCAGCGGGATTAGGGGGTGAAATGTTGTTTTTAATCCCGTGCATGCTTAATTCATATTGTAAATAGGCATAGCTGCATTTCCATGTTTATCTTCCCAAGTTTAGCTAGTTAGTTGCTGCATGAATCAAACGGATGTAAGGCCAGAATCGTGCTGCGTTCACGGTGCGGCCCAGCGGCATTCTCACCACGCACGTATGGAAAACGTCTCCGCGCTCCAGGCGGACACGGCATAGCGTGCGCGCGCGTGGCGGGGAAATAGGATCGAAGACCGTGTACTCCGAATGAATAAAGAGAAGAAAGCAAGCCTGAAAAGGCCACGACAGTGTGCGGCACATATTCGGTCTCTGGTGTGTGCGTGAGTTCTCTGAGTTCGTGAGCAACGTCGAGAGCACCGAGAGAACTCGCCGGCCGTTGTCGATCGCCGTTGAGGCAGCCATTCAGGCACTCGGCGCCATCAAATCTTGCAGCCGGCTATGGCGCAGTCCCATGCGGTGGCCATGGAGCAAGTGGTGGTGAGGCAGCGGTGGAGGAGCAGCGACATGGCCGGGGATGAAGCGAGGGCCAGCGGCGAGGGCGGATTGGCCTTGTGTTGAGATCTGCGTGATTGAGAGAACAGTGGAAAGCGTTGATGATTCATTTTTTTCTGTGAAAAGAAAACACAACTTAGGTGCTGGGTGCCTGTGGGATTCGATCCTGGTGATGGAGGGCCTGCGGGGGCACAGGGCATGCGGGGGAGTGGAGGGCGTGCGTTGAAGCGCAGGTGCGGTGCGTTGAAGCCTGGAGATACAAATGACGTGCGGTGCGTTGAAGCCTGGAGATACAAATGACGTTGGCCATCGGATCGAGCTGAAGCCTGCGAGGAATGATTAGGAGCCATAGATTTTAATGATGTCGAAAATCTGGGTGAAATTTTTTGGGTGCACAGTTGTTGAACTCTCTCAGTGGAGGATACATTATTTGGTGTATCTAAAATAGTTTGGATTGGTCCATTATAGTAGAGAAGATAGGCTAAAGGCCCACTAGTTTGTAGTTCCTATTTCTTTTATTTGGTTCTATCTATGCATACAGGCTGTATATCAATTCCAGAATAATGTATCTTGGAAGCCTTTCGGCTTCAATAACAATTTTGTTTCCAAGATAAAAAAGCTTCTACCAATCCTCGTGGGATCCTCAACTGCTTGCTTTTCCTGTAGGCCTGTAGCTGATGTTTGTAAAATCTTGTACATTGTACAGATTACTTTAATTTTGACCATTGTGTACCGCTCCTTTGCCACGTAAAATATTTCACCAGTTTGAAGCTGGATCTGAGATTACCTAAAAAACTACAGATTTACATATTTTGGCCTCTGTGGGGGGCATAAACGGACTTCTTCTATATTTATCCTCGATCGAACCAGTTTGCTGACGGCCCATGAGTTCCGGCACGGCCCATGAGGTTCACTTGTCACTGGAAACTTCCTAGGGTTCCCTTCCTCTCTTTATACCATCCCTTCGCCGCACCATCTTCGACTTGTATAGGTGCGTTCCTGCTATTCCCTGATTGATTTCTATTTGGCATCGATTCTTTTTCGAATTCGAATTGTTGTCGCCCTCGATTAAGATTTGGATACTTGTTGGGTCGAATTCGAATCGCAGGAACTAGATCTACGAGTACAAGGATGCCGGAGAAGCGTACATCTAAGGATCGAAAGCAGCACCTTTACCTTGTGTTTGATGACCGGAACTCTGGATACTCCATCCGTAAGGTGAGCTTGTCACGCCGCTCAGGCAAACACTCTGAGCAGCCCTTGTCGTCCGATTCAGGAGAAGACTCTGAGCAGCCCTCATCGTCCGGCTCAGGCAAAGGCGCTAAGCCCTTGCCAGTTTTCATGCGCGTCTCAGCTCAGCGTGGGTGTTCCGAGTTCTTCACGTCAGCCTTTGCACCAAGATCATGGTGATGCTTCCAGGCGCGTCTGGTGATATCATGGGCGTCCCAACTATCGACATCCAAGATCGGACCTTCACCCATGCGTTGGGCAGCTGTTGGTCTTGGTCTATCCGCTCCTATGTGAATCAATACTTTTTCATGAGGCTGTTGATCTTGTATGCCTGCATTGCTGCTGCCCTCATGACACTTTGAGAAACATTTACAGTACCATTTCTTCTTCTTTTTTGGAGACACTTTGCTGATTACCATTTCCTCTTTACCTCCTACACAACTGCTAGG